GAAGTGTACCTCTGGTGCAAATTACTGACCTCTGTCATCATTTTAAGTGGGGGAACTTGCACAATCGGTGGCTGACTAAATACTTTTTTGCCCCACTGTAGTTGCAACTCAGGATTTAGTATCTTGCCCACAGATACTTTGGCATGCAGGCTGGAGCAGCCAGGAACCCACCCAACCGTCTGATTAGTGGATGAACCACTCTATCTCCTGACCCATAACCACAATGAAGAAATTGATAGAGCTGTTAGTGTGCCACTTAAAGATTCCTCACCATCAATGGGTTCAACTTCTTATACGTTGGCGAAAGACTTGCGAAAGTTAGCTGCAGGTCCTTCGGTGGCTTTCAGCCAATCAAATATGGGACACTCTTCAGAGCCAATGCACTTTGTGTTTGACCAGGTGTTTCCTCAGATTTGATGTGTTGCCATTTTTTTTCCCTTCATTTTCCTCTGCAAATGTTACAGAGAGCAATCGTTGCGCAATTTTTATTTTTATTTTTTGAAAGCGTAATCACACCTGAGAGATCTTTTGGTTAACTTGAGTGATAGTTAGTAATAGTCATGCTCTTTCTTACGCTTACCTAAAATTTGGCACCGAATAATTTAGTGTGAGTTGGTTTTCAGTAGATAATTCAGTCAGTACCCTAAAAAGTACAGAGTTTGATACCCAACCCTGACTTTATCAGAGTCTTTAGGTTTTTTTATTTTTTATTTTTTGACTTTTAACAAACTTGTATTAGGTAATATAATGTGGAATACAGGAATGCTTGTTGCTGAAAGTGTGCCTCTGTACACCTACACAGATGGTCCATTATAAAGGAGGTGTGATTCATAATTAATAGAATTGTTGTAAATCGATGTGACTTAAATAAATATGTTATATTTTATATAAACAAATATGCTTTATGTGCAAAGAGGAAAAACATCCTCCAAGCTTTTGAGTGATAGTGGGTGTGTCTGTCTGTCCGTGTCTGTCTGTGTATCTGTCTGTCTGTCTGTGTGTCTGTAACTTGTCCCCCCTGTCTTTCAGCCAGCAAAGCAGGAGGACGGGACAGTGACAGGGAAGGACAGATGGAGACAAAAACTACTGTCAGCCATGTCTGCAGGAATACCGGTAACCCCTCCTCTCCTTCCCCTGTCCTCTTCTACCACCTGTCCTTTTCTTTTCCCTCCTGCTCCCACCTTGCTTTCCCTATCCTTTCTTTCCCCTCCTGCAGGCTGCTGTCTGTTCTTCTCTTCCTGTCCCATCCTCAGGGTGCTACCGTTTCCACTTCACAGGTATTTCTTTGTATGTTTTCTAGCATACCCCTTTTAAATATATCAATCCAGGTATGTGATGACCACAGCAGGAGTTAAAATTGCCCATATAGTTGGGCTAGTTGATGAACCCGAAAGCAGAGCACAGATATGAGCAGGAACAGGAAGATTGTGTATTAAAAAAAATGCTCATTGTTGGTGGGAGAGAGTTGGGTTTGAATGGAGGTCACAATGAGGTTGAAGCAATAGGCAGGGCCAGGGCACCAATGCAGCTAAGGACTGCTGTATGAGAAGTTCAGAGAACAGAGAGCTCAGAACTGAGAAAGATAAGAAGGGGCTTAGGCAGATGAATGCTGCAGACAGAGAAGAACAGGTGTTGGTAAATGCGAATACATGAGTGGGCAATAAACTAACAGAGACTGCATGATCTGGCAGTTGTGTATACAATGTTTTCACAGTCAAAGTGTTGGATCTAGGTATTTATTGCAGAGCAGGATGATGACAAGCAGCTGGCAGTCTGACTTCCCCCGCTCATCACATCCTGCAATCAAGCAGGCAGAAAACAGAAACACAGAAAGTAGGGAGGGAAAAGATTGCGCTTTGCAGCTTGGTGGGAATGATGGTACAAGTGAAGGGCATGACACACAAAATTACCCTGCATTCCACTGCCCACGTCACCCTGTAGAACATGTGCTCTGGGAAAAATTCAGATAGTAGTGTATGACTTTTGCTTTTTTCTCAGAATGGAATGAAATCTGGCTCAACTTGGGTGCTGGTAGGTGACCCATGTGCGGCCTGGTTCTATTCCACCCTGGATGAGTTCGTGCATGTCTTTCCTTTCTCAAACTGCCTTGTCATTAAACAGACTAAACACACGCTTTACACACTAATCAAAGAAGTATTAATCCAGGTCTGAAAATAGTTCTCAACCAAAGCACTGTAGTACTGTTTTCCCAGGTAGTTAAGCTAATTAATGTTAAGAAATCCTTCCAATATAGTCTTTAAAAAAGGAACATTCTTTATAACACAGCAAAGGTAAAATGATTTGTTGGATCTACAAACCTTGTTGCTGGACAGTTAACAGGACCCCCTTATGAATTGGGTGAGCTGCTAATCCTTCTTTGCAACCTTTATCTCTGTGGGCTTTTTCCTCATCGCAGGTGTACCACATGACATTAATGGACTCAACGGAGACATACTGTTTGTTACACCTTTTCTTGTATGACAAGTTAATTGTGGTTAGGTCTACTGTCAAACAAACAAACAAACAAACAAACAAACAAACAGCTACAAGTACCTGGGGATCCCACAGGCAAATGGGAACCATGAAGAGGCCACTATGAAAGCTGCAAACACCAAGTACCTGCAGAGGTTCAGGCAAGTCCTGGGGAGTCAGCTGAATGGCAAAAACAAAGTCTAGGCTATCAACACCTAGCTCTGATCAGGTACCCTGCTGGGATAATAAGCTGGCTGAAGGAGGAGATGGAAGCCACTGACATCAAGACGCGGATGGAATTCTGTGAATGCAGAAATGACAGAGTGTGAGACTTAAAACACAAATTTATATGACAAAAAGATGCACAACACAAATAAGCCGACTTGGAGAAGTAGAGGGATGGAAAGAAACTGAGGGAGGGCGGGCTGAGTGGGAGTGATGCATGCTGGGCAGGAAGCCAGGGGTAAGATTAGTGACCGTCACTATGGCGACACACAACTCCCTCTCACACACTTGAACCATTGTTACCTGAATGTGCTGTAGGATCAAATCAAAAGATTATATGAACATATACGTGAGTAAAATGGGTCTTTTGTTTTTGAGTCTTCTTCGTTGGTCCTGTTTTAAAGCAATATGCCTTCGGCATACTAAGCACTTATAAATGTTGGGTAAATCAAGTTGAGCATTCATTTTGGCTACTTTAAGTACAGAGCTCAGGCTGCATGCTTACATTTGCAAACTGACAGTAAAAGTGCCGTAACTACATCAGTGGCTAATCTTCAGTGACGGACAAATCACTGTCACAATGTTTCAAATCAGTTTTTGAACTACAGGTTAGTGCTAATAATACAAGACAAACTAAAAAAAGAGAAAGGGTCACATGTTTTAAAGCCCAGAATCCTAAAGGGAAGCCAGCTCGGTCTTAGACACTTACATTGCATTAGATGTGCCTGAAAATGGTGAAATGGTACTATATGTATAACATCATTCTTAACATTTAAGCAAATGTAAACATTTATTTGCTATAACAGCCATGTAGTATACCAGAATAGTTCCCCACTGCTTAATATATTAAATACAGTGTTTTTCTGCATCTGCTTACATTTTGCAGAAATCAAGCCAGCATGGCTTTTAGTGATTCTGGTCCACAATACTCTGTGCTTGAATATTTGAGTTGCTCCAATGAAGTAGTGTTTTGCAGTCTATCCATAGTGAGTGCAGCAATACGTACTTCAAAAGGGGAACTGGAGTACGGACTGAAAGTGAAATTGAAAAAAGGAGCAATTTAAGAGCCAAGTCTGTCACAAATGCAAAGGCTTTGTTGGTCTTTCCTCAGTGGGCATTACAAGCTAAATATAAAGTCTGACCTACCTTTTTCTTTCTCTTGGTCAGGATGGCCATCACACTCTGAAGGTCTTTTTGTATACACTTTGTGTATGTAGAGGCTTCAGGGTGAGAGTGAGAGAGCAAGAATGGTAAATGGCCTGCATTTGTATAGCGCTTTACTCAGTCCCTAAGGACCCCAAAGCGCTTTACACTACATTCAGTCATCCACCCATTCACACACACATTCACACACTGGCAATGGCAAGCTACATTGTAGCCACAGCTGCCCTGGGGTGCACTGACAGAGGCGAGGCTGCCGGACACTGGCGCCACCGGGCTCTCTGACCACCACCAGTAGGCAAACGTGGGGTTAGTATTTAGTTAGTATTTTAGAAGAAAAGCATTTATTATGTTTGAAATGAAGGCTCATGTCCAAAAGGCGCGATTCTCAAAATGATGATAAATGTACAGATTAAAAACAAGTTGCTGATTTCGTTTCTGGTTCTTTTATACACTGCTCACTGCATAGACGTTATAAGTGAGAGACTGCATAAATCTGAATAATGGACTTGAGCAGAAAAGCACATTGTGTTCCATGTAACACTTTCATTTCCATTAAAGTTTTTATATTTAATATGTGCATGTTCAGTTAAGACAAAAGGCCCTCCGTTTGAAAGGCTAACGACTTTGTTCCAACAGAATAATGAGAAAGAAAAATGTTAGCGAAATTGTGTATTTTTAAATCAAATGTATTTCGTCAGTTGTAATCAGGATGAAACCTGTTTGTCATTTCTCAACACCGCACTCTGAGTGCAAACAAACACACTTTCCAGCGTTCACAAGTTTAGAAGACTCAACGAGGTCGTTTTCAAGAAGCTTGCCAAAACCATCCGGTAAGTTAATTAAATGAGTTGGTTTGTTGTCTGAACACAGTGTAGACATCTGCTGCTGGTTACCATGTAAAAACAAAGTAGAATGCACAAGTTGATTTACACACTTAATCTAATCTGATCTAAACTGACAAGTATGCACATAGTGCCAACGTCACATTCAAGTGCTAACACGTTTTATTATTCTAGTAATAGTCTTTTAAAAAAGGTTAATATGAAGAATTTATACTTGGTAGCAGTAATAGTTTTGCATACATAGTACTATTTAATAATAGAAGTGGTATTGTCTGTGAAAAGTAGAAACTACTGATGATAACTTGTTGCAGTTTAATGCAGCCTTATTTTACATTTCATTTAAATCTTGTTTTGCTCTTCTGTCTCTAGCAGATTGGAAATTTGTCACGAGTCCTGGTGTGATCAAATTTTCCTTCAGCACTTGAACCAGGCTAAGAGTCTGGAAAAGGGGGAGGAGAAGTGAGAACCTTAAGAGAAGATGGTATGGCTTTATTTTGATTATTTTTGGTTTTTGCTGAAAGATTGTTTCTTTTAAATATTTTTGGTGTTAATAGTTTCTTGGATTTCTGCCATGAATTGTCCTTTTGTAGGTTATTATTTAACAAATTAGTAGCTGAACTTTTGAAACACAGCAATGGAGAACCAGTCAGGTGGAGTCTAATCCAGAATGCCAGAGAGATATAAAAAGTCACAGTCTCTGTTTTAACTTTTAATCTTACTTATTACTTAGCAAATTCTCATTTTTAACTAAAACTTTATTAGAATTGGGTTTTTAAAATGACTTGGGTGTCTTTTTTTTGTTTTTTTTTGTTATAGGTCTTCAATCATCAGCGAACAACCTACAACCTGACCCCAAGTGAAAGGCTTCTGGGCTCACTGTCTCTCTGGGAATACTTGCCAAAAGCTGCAAAGTGAACAATGTTGTAGAACTGAAGTGACAATAAAAAACTTCACATTTAAGAGATTTGTTTGTAATCCAATAATTTACATGGCTAACACCTCATAATTAATTTGTCTCTTAAAGTTTGTAGTGGGCTTGAAAAACACATTATTAATTTTATAAAAACACAACTTTTTTTAAATTTTTTTTAATTTTAATTTTAATTTTTTTTAATATAAAATATAAAAACACAACTTGAATGTAGCAAACACCCCCCAGATCTGCAGTGCAAATGTTGGAGCAACCAAAGGACTACCTAATGATGTATGCAAGAAACATGCTTTAATGGTTAAGGCTGTCTAAATGTGCATTTACTATTTAGTGAAAAACCAAGAGGTCCTCAGATGACTAAAGGGCAGAACTCTTGAGTGGTTGAAGCAATTAGACCAGTATTAATGTAGTTCTAATAAATGTCAAAATGTGTCCTTGCATGCAGAAATGTGTACGTCATTTTAATTCTACAAGGTTCAAAATCCTTATTTTGAACCTTGCGTCCCCATATTTTAAACTGATGCTACTCCTAGACGTGGTGTCTTACTCTAAATCTCAGATTAAATGTCTAACACTCCCCTTTCAACCCACTGTATAAGCTTATTCGTGACGGTTCATATGTATATTTGCCTGTTTCTGTTTTTAAAAAGCTTGTATTGCAGGGTGTACAATGCCATCATATTCACTAGATGGTGCCATTGCACTGCCAGGCTGCATAATCCCTCTTCAGAGTATACAGGGTTTTGATCCACTCAGGTCTGTGTGTGCAAACTGACTTCCTATCACTGTGTGAAGATGTTCATGTATGCATTATTTCCATATGCCTATAAGCACCACCTGGGGGTGGAAGATTTGAAACAGTTTGACAGCGGTTTTGTTCCACTGTAAACTGTAACTGTACAGGTTACATTCCATTATTAAAATTTCTGACATTCTGGGCGAGACTTTTGTTTGCACAGGGTTTAGTAGCTGGGCAAAACCAGATCCTTCTGTCATCTCCTAGCATTTTAAATTATACATTGCTACTGTCTCCTGGCTGTAACCTGGTTTTCGAGGTTGTAGAAATCAATCTTCCTATCTGAATCTTGGCAAGAAAGCAGACACTTGTGTTTTCTTAGACCTGAAATTGCTCCAAATTAAAAGCCAGTTAATGTGGTTAATGCCTGGGAGAATGGATGAATCAGCTGGGAGTCATCTGGATGTTAGAGATTCTCTGGAATAAAACGATGTCCTCAAGCAAGTGTTTGAATTTAGGCTGCGTACAGTAAAACACATTTTTATGCTCCCTTATGTCTGTGCTGAGATGTGGTAATGTTCCCCGTGGTCGTGTGAAATTCACTGGCTGCTTGTTTCGCTCTAAACTCAGTTTTTACAAACCATTTGAAAGGAGGAAGCTGCTTTGTTTTTCTCTCTTTTTAAGACGTCTCTGTAGGCTCTCTGTTCTGGATAACAGATTTAAAAACAAACTTAAAGATCCACAGATTCCTGTATGACTGATTTGGAATTTTCCCTCTTTTCTCCTCCTCTGTTTTTTCTGTCAGTCTCCTATAGAGAAGCTGACCTGGAAAGATCGCCTTCCCGGATACTTGATAAATGTGTCCTCTATCCTCTTCATGGTGAGTATTTAAAAATGTGTTTTAGGGCCAGTGTAGGATGAGAAAAATGTATGTGCAGAGCTGGGAATAAAAGGGATTCCTTTTTCCTTTTTTTTTCCTTAAGATCCATTTGACTTTATAAGGTTGGATTGACCTCATCAAGCAACAGCGGATAACAGAATACAATTAGATCTTTCTTTCCAGTTGGATTTAGCAGTAAAGAAATACTTTTAGCTCAAACTTACCAAAGCGCACATTTTTTCCTTCTAAAGTTACCACTTTAAGCATGAGTTTCTCAACATTACTATCCCCCTCTCTGAGATATGTATGATTTTAAAATAAGGTTTGGTTACATCTGATCTAGCCTAGCTGTGTCATTTTCTCAGAATTGAAGTGTGAGAGCATAATAAGTCTAGCCATTGCTCTATAACGATTTGAGTAATAACTACCCTTCCTTTGCTTGTGTTTTTGCTCCCAGTTTGCGCTGACATTTTCTGCAGTTTTCGGCGTCATCATTTACCGCATCACAATCTCTGCGATCATGGCGATGAGCCCTGACCCGGAGATCAGGCACAATGTTCGGGTGACAGTCACTGCCACTGCGGTCATCATCAACCTCGTGGTTATCTTGATTCTGGATGAAATCTACGGTGCTGTGGCAGTGTGGTTAACTGAGCTAGGTACAGACACACACACAGATGTCCTTTTACTCTATTCTAGTAAAGTAACTTTGGTTTCAAGTACCAGAGAGAATGGGGGGAAAACTGGATCCACTGGTGAACACTGCTAAAAACCTTGATTGGTTTTCTTTCCTGCCAAGAGTTAAGTAAAAAGATCATTAACATTTGAATATCTTTAATAATGAAGCTGTAACTGCAC